CCCCCCCCCCCCCAAAAAAAAAACTAGCAGAACCGGATTACATCACTACGGCAGTACCAGATATAATGTGGGTGAAATTGAGGAAGGCAAAACACCTTCTGCCCTCTCTAGTTTAGCAGCCTAGCAGGAGTGGCAAAATATGTAATTAGCTGTTCTATATTTGAGGGTTTTAGGATTTTCATGTTTGCCTTTTTGGGCCCTGAAAATGGAATTTTGTAATACTAGAGCCTATTAATAGGAATTAGGACCTCAACTAGACTTTTGGGGCCAGGCAAGTGATTAATTAAATAGTCGTTTAAAGCATTATGGGGTTATTTAAAGATAAATGTGGGGAAATTCCAACAGTAAGGTACTAAATGAAGTTTCATTGGAAACTTGGAATACAAAAATGGAAAAACATGATAGCCCAATGAAAAAGAATAAATTTAACCCTAGAGACATAGAATCTAAGGGAAAAAAATGAAAATAAAATGTGTTGCTTGAAAGCCGTGCAGGATGATTGAATAATGGACACGACTAAGGGTTGGGAAAAAATCTTGAATCACAACACTCCTGATCCTTACTAGTCGGAATTTTATCCTAATCCCAACTTAGTCACGGGATATGTTTTTAAATTAAGTCGTGTCCCAGCAAACCTTACACGTGACAGAAAAAGTAATAAAAAAAATACTGTACTCTGTAAAAAATTAATGCGGAGCATTAAATAAGAATTAAAAAATTTAAAAAAAATTGAAAATTCAAAACAAAAAATAAATAATGCACACATATATGAATGTATGTATGCATAGAAATTTTAAATTTGTAATCTTTTTAACTTTTAGTTCTGACGCTGTTAATCTTGTACTTGTCATTCTAAAAATAAAATTATAATTTATATTGGTGATATTAAGTTTTTAAAATTTTCTAATGGTTTGCTAGATTAATTTCACGAGTGCTTCGTTAGTGATTTTCACTTGTTGACAAAACTGTATATCATAGTATAAAATATAAGCTTTGATGTCAAGATTTAAAGGGTATGCCTAGAGCTGGCAAATTGGCCGGTCAAGTCGGGTTCGGATTCGGTCACTTCGGTTTTGGGTCAATTCGGGTTCAGGTTGAGAACTGTATGTTCATAACCCAGTATCATCTGGTTCGGGTCCACCCAATGGGTTATGACTTTAGTTTTTAAAATTTTAAATTCATATTAACATCTGCATTTCGCATTAAATAAAATTAAAATATCAAAAAATATGAATTAAATCTATTATATTGTTTTATTTTAAATTCTGAAGTAAATTCTAAATATATAAATCAATATAAAGAATTTAAAAAATGCATAACTTTTGGAAAAAAGTAAGATAATTATGCAATATCATTAACATTTTGTCCAAAAATATAAATTTACACACTAAAAATGAGTAGTAAGAAAAAATATATAATTAAAACCTGATTTTTATAACATTATATTTCATAGTTAAGTATATGATTTTGAAAAACTCTAACATTAGCGGGTTGGTCCGGTCGGGTTTGAGTTTGGTCGGGTTTGACCCATTTTTTGCGGGTCATTTTGGATTCGGTCAACTTCGGGTTCGGTCAACATTGTCGGGATCCCGATTTATTAAGGATGGATTTGGGAGCATTTTTTGTTTAATCAGGATCCGGATTATTGTAATCAGGGTCGAGATGATCCTAATCTCACCCCTACACAGGACAATAACAAATAATTACACCCATCATTGCTACGATGTCTAAATATATTATTCCTACTTGTGAAAATAATATATGATCATTAGGGAAGGTTAAAGTTAAATTTTGGGAGAACATGACAATAAATTCTACAAGCATAACATCTTGTTATAAAGTCACCATTGTAGTTCATACAAAAAAGACTTATGAGACTCTGCACTGTGATCCGTTGTCATTGATATTAGAAATGTCTATTCTTTCTCTTACTCCCTCCCTCCCTCCGTTGTGCCATAGTTTCCAATTAAAGTAATTATAGAAGTGCTTAATTGACTCTTTTGCCCTCAATTAAATTCTACTTTAACTGCATTCTTTAAAAAGTAACGACTACTTGTAACACCCAACCTTTATAGTAACAACTTCCCAATTTCAAATATTCATTAATTTCATTTCCCCGGTGTGCATAGTCACTTTAACAACCTATACAAATGTTAACCTTTATGATGGGTAACATTTCATTTTGGGCTCTAGGTTGAACTTTTTTGAATTTAGTCAAAGGCGGGTGGGCCATTTGGACCAACTTAGGCGGAACTTGAGCACATTCCTTTTTATTAGTATTAATTATGAAACAATGTCTGCAGTACAAAATTGGTTTGTACGCAATTTGTTTACAATTGCAATCATAATTTCAAGTGGGCAAAGACTAATTCAAGCAAGTTTAAACTAATTTTGAATTAAAGTCTAATATAAATGCCCTGAACCAGCTATGTTTACATACCATGCTCCATATTAGTGTACCAACTAAGCATATTCCTATTGTACCTAAAAAAAATAAGAGTTGTGTAGCACCTTCCCTTTTGCACACCAGGAACCAGAGCGCACCATGTTTCAGGCAACTTAAATGATGAACGGTTCCACTTGAAAATGTGCATGATTACCATAGATTGGTTATATGCATCGCCAGAAATTCTAATGTGCTGAAAGAATTGTAAAAATCCCTTCCTACCACCTTAACACTAAGCTCTCCATGGGTACCTAGGGAATTTACCCACTTAGGGCCTCCCACCCAATATGAGATCACATTAATCACAGGTTCCCGACTAGGCGCCAGAATCTAGCGACACCTTGCGATGCCTAGTGCTTTTTACAACAGTCTACATGCAACAATGCAAGAGAGAATGATGCATGAGTCTTTATATATATCATACCTTTGAAGGTTCATTTTCCTCAGGCATTACATATGCAGTTCCAACGCAGTAGTATGCATTATTATCATCAGAGAAGGAGCAGCTAATAATGGAACAGCCATGTTCAAATTGATCGAGTGGGTAAGTTGATATGAATTCAAAAGTCTGGTCATCTAGCAAGCGGATAAGATGAACTTCAGTATCTTCTGCATTTGACTGATTATATTTCAAGCAACATAATGCAAATGTGCGGGTCCGTTCTTGATGACAAATACGGCGCGCATGCTCCCCGAGCGGAATGGAGCGGATGTGAAGCTTCTGAATGTCATCAATGGTGCCAATTGTTAGCTCACCTTCTTTAGCAATTGCAAGGCTGCTAACAAAGATAGAGTTACTGACTGTCTTTTAGAATTTAAGAAGATGCATATATGAAAATACACTCTTTCAGAAATTTTCATGACTATATTTTACAATATGATATGAGTTAGAAAATGAACGACACACACACACACAAATAGGATCAACTCCAATGAGATGACATAACGGTGAGATGAAGCAATGTGAGCCACTCAAATGCAAGGTGGCATTTTTGTAATATTGTCATCTTTTCAAATGGGTGGCTCACATTGTGTCATCATTCTTGTAATATATATATATATACACACACACACACACACACACATATATATATATATTATTTTTTTTAATGAACGGTCGGTTACAAGCAGGAGGCTCGAGGCCCGTTAACCTCGTGACTACCCTGGGGCCTGTTAACACCCGAGGTAGATAGCCCACTATAGAAAGCCCAATGTAAGCCCAATTTAAAGCCCAGCCCCATAAGCCCAAATCTACTTCCCAGGGGTCACCGATCATTTTTGCTACTCCCATGCCAGCACGCTTAACTCTTTAAAATTTCTCCAAATTTGCATCTTCTGGGGATCGAACCCGGGTGGTGTGGTTCGCCAATCAACCCTGTGACCATCTCTACAGGGGGAACCATATATATATATATATATATATATATATATATATATATATATATATATATATTGTGTGTGTGTGTGTGTGTGTGTGTGTGTGTGTGTATACCTCACGGTTCTTGTGACCTTGAGTATTTTGACCTTCAAATGACTCGGGGCACCTACGGTGCGATGTTGGTAAAATTGATAGTTCCTATCCCCCACCCCCTACACCCCACCCCCTAGATCGCCAATTTGGGCGCCCAAATTGGCGGTGGGGAGGGGCAGGAGGGTAAGAACCATCAATTTTACCAACAGAGCACTGTAGGTGCCCCAAAAAGCCAAGGTCATTTAAAGGTCAAAATTGGCCAAGGTCGAAATCGTAGGTGCACCGTATGTATGAATGTGTGTGTGTGTGTGCGCGTGTGTGAAAAGCATGAGTTGATAAAATAATACACTATGTTCAACGAATCTCTAGCTACTATGTACCTTCCAATTGAGTCACTCACTTCACGTCTGAATGAGTTGAACATAGTTCAACGAATCGTTTAACTATGTAAAACTCATTCAAAGACTTACATTCGTACTCTATTACTTTCCTAAACACTTGTATGCGATAAACTAGGGATTTCGATTGATGCATTCAATAGGCATACATACGTGTGCAGGCCTTGCAAGAGAAGAACAAGAACGCCTAGGACTCTTTAGTCCACCTTATCACTTATTCTATTTTTTATTATAATCACTTCTTTACTAAGTTTCCTATTATTTAGGTGTTTCCTATAAGTTAGTTTTTGAGGTAGATGTTCTTTACAATACAAGCCATGTTCTTTAAAAATATCTTCTCTTTGGAATAATAATCAAGTTGGTACCTTGTATTGAAATTAAATTTAAGAGGGGGTTAGAGTATTAAACCCCACCAGCTCCCTTTTCTATTTTACATTTTTCCCCTAGCCGTACTTCATATTCAGACTTCACCATATGCAATCCGAAGAGTTATTCTCCTTCATTATCACACCGTCTTGAAAGTCAATTCTCATTTCATATCATCTGGTTCTCATTGCCGATACGGCAATACCATGGGTTCTTATCCTCGTACTGAGACAATCATCAACAATCTGTCAAGTCTTGGGAAAGCCACCATGCGAACATACAATTTGTCGACAATCATGGCCACTTTATCTAAGTCCTCCCAAGCCCACGGTGTCACACTCAACAATCTAAAGACTATGGTGAAAGAGTTTCTAAACGACCATCAAGAGATAGCTCCTCTTCTGGCAAAACCAATTTTGAAGGCCACAGCACCGATTTTTCTCCATTCATCACACATACCTGAAACTTGAGTTTCCTCTCTTTCACGGGACGAGGATCCAATGCCATGGCTAGCACACTGAATCTTATTTCAACAGCACTCGCGCACTTGATGCTGAACGTGTCCGTGGTGGCACACCACGTGATGGTGTCACCCAACTCTGGTACCATTATGAAACCGAGGACGCCCTGTAGTCCTCATTGGAATCCTTTTGTGGCAAGTGTTTGGCTCTACCAGGAGTATCAACTCCTTGGGCGTTCTCAAGCAGTTCTTCGGGGCAACCGACAACCACCATATTGATGAATATATCAAAGACTTCCGGAGAGCCCTAGTGCGGGCCACATTGGTGAGCTGCACCCAACGCATGGATTTTTCACAGGTGGTCCAGCAAATCCTTATTGCCCGGCTTTCCAGCCATCTCTGCTCCGATGGCCCAACAACAGTCCACCAAAGCCATATACCCTCCATTCTCCTTTCAAGTTTCTTACTCCAGCACAGAAAGCCGATCGTGAAGCCAATAAATCATGTTACAACTGTGAAGAATTTGATGAAAATTATATTTCGGAAAGCAAAAGCTGCCACTTTTCATCTTATGGTCTCTCGATGAGGGGAAAACAAGACCTGACCTCAGTGCATACACAAACTGCAATTTGGAAATAAGCCTCAAGCATAGTTTTGAAATGCGAAAGGCAGGCGAGAAGGCTTTTTTTAAGGCGAAAGGCAAGGCAAGAGGAAGCCGGCCAAAAGGCAAACTTTTGAGGTATACACACACATACATGAAATATATAGTGCAGTGCAATTAATAATGTCAATCCCAAGCAAGTCATACATGTTAAACAAAAGAATAAGAGTAGTTACTACATATGTGTCTCAAAAAACAAGAGCGGGAGAGGAGACAAGACCAGAGGGGGAGAGAGGGAACGAGACCTGAGTTGCCGATGAGACCAGAGAAGACAAAGTAGAGTTGTGGATTGACTCGATACTGGTAGGCGTAGTCACGCTAGGGTGTGAATGAGTCGCACTTAGGGTGTGAATGAGTCGCACTTAAGATGACTCGATACTTGTTGTCCATGTTTTGAATTATTTTTTTTATATTACTTTTTTTCTTTTTTTATAATTGTTTAATGATAATAATTTAATTTAATTATCTCACACTATATGAACTTTTACGTAGATACGTTGTCAATTGTGACTCATTTCTATTTGTGGTTATATTATATTTAACTATTGATATAAATATAAAGAGTATAATGCATTATACATTTGTAATACATACATACATATATATATAGACACACACACATACACTCCGTATATTCATAGGTCGCCTAGTTGTCATTTAGGCGAGCACCTAATTGATTAGGCAATGTGAAAATGCATTGGAGCTTTGTCTTGTCGCCGGAACAACCTTGAGTGAGTCTAAGTTCATATCATTGATGTTTTTTCAGTTTGCCTCCCACGTATGAGATTGGGAAGAAACTCTCAATATTTGAAAAGAAGGCAGAACAATATATATTACCTGTCTGGAAAGGCAGCAGAATTGAACGGACACATATGGCTAACTTCTTTGAGGTTCACATTGCTGTAAAGCAATTTCTTGTTACTGCCATAGATGACAGTTGGCCTATCAGAAGCAGCAAAAACATGTGTGGCATTCTTTGATGAGAAAGTGCGAAGAGTTATAGGTTGAGTCCCAAGAGATACTTTCTTTCTGTCTGCTAGCTCACCACTATGCACGTCCAAAACGAAATTCATGAGATGACCATCTCCAAGGGCACATAGCAAATAAGATATCTGAAAGAAGCAAAAAAGCCGGAAAAAATATCATTTGGCAACTACTATCTTTCATTGCTTCAACAAATGAAATGGCAATTAGAATTGCTACTTTGCTATGTTATCCCATGCTTTAGAATGATCTTTTGTGACACGCTTTGCACTTCCATTATTCAACTTTAAACATGACGAATCTTGATTATTTTGTGTTGGTGTAAAATGTCAGGCAGAAATCATTGTCCTTGTTTCTTGTTGTTAGGAATCATACAAGGAAAAATAATTTTCTGGTGCACTAAATTCCTCCTAAAATACTTCTTGATGCAGATCCTACAAGCAGGAAACTATAATATTTTTAAAAAACTTAGAAAATAAATTACCCCTTCAAAGGAACATAGAAGGACAGAACGAGGAATTATTTCTCCTCCTAAGGGCTCCTTTTTTATGAGATTCAGTTCAGGTAGAGAATATATCCTAACACTTATGTCAGTCCACATCCCAACAGCAGCTAGATGACTATAGTTTGGATTATCACCAATTGGATTTATATCCAAGCAGGAGATGTCATGCTCCAACTGTGTGTGTTTTGATTCGATCAACTTTCCATCGCCAATTTCTAGGTAAACTAAATGGCCACCCCCGGTAGCCAATAATACCTGTAAAATATAAAGCATCCAATGAGAGAAAGATGAACCGATTAACATAAATGCATAGGCCAATGCAGACGAGTGGAAAAGTCTTGCTAACATGGCTCCCCAGCCCAACACCGAAAGAAGAATACTTCTAAATATAGTACATGTAGAAGAAAGTCCATGGTAATTGAAGATAAATAAATAAAAAAATGAATGACTGAATAAATCATAAATAAATAAATAAACAAATAATATTCCCTCTGTCCCTAAATAAATGTCCTGGGTTGATTTTCACGAAGTTTAAGAAAAAGTGAAATTGTATGATGGAGATTTATGCAGAGAGAAATAATGTAAACCACTCATTTCATTCCTTAAATGGAATGAGACATTTCTTTTGGACATCTGAAAAAGGAAAGCATGACATTTATTTAGGGACGGAAGAAGTAATAAAATTTGGGGGGTGGAGGTGACTGTAGAAAAATTGATATGAAGTGTACTTCAAACCCATCCAAAACTTGATCAATCAATGATAGCAATTTATATTTTGATTGTTGAGCATAATAGAGTTAGCAAAGGGAGCATACCTGTGTCTCATTTGCAGTGGCGACATTGATCGAATAACTGGATGGAGCATGCCATTCGTCTTTCAGCTCTCTGGAGCTAGAACACACCAATCTCACTGAGCTTGATGTAACCTGAGACAGTGAATAAAAAGATGTGTGATGAATGAATAATCTAATCCATAAACACCAAGGTAGCATTACTAGCATACTAGCATTCCAAGATACCATGGAGAAAAATGAGCAAACAGTTCCAATTCAGTTTCGCAAAAGATTTTCAAGATTTTCCTCATGTATCACCGTAGATGTTAAGCAAACAAAAGATTATGTTAACTGGAAAAAATATAAATATACAGACCAAAATGTCCACAGAAAAAATAAAAAATGTCCATAGAAAATTTTGAATTGCCAAAATAAGTTAAATGCTTTCAAAGAGAGGATTACAAGATGATTATTTATCACAATGACCATTTTTATTTACTTAGAAATGCTTTTCAAAAAATGTCAGCATTTTATATCTTCATGCCAGACAATTGGCATAGAACTGTAACTTTGACTGAACAGGTTCCTATATTTATTCCAGATAGCACTTAAATAATGAAAACCACTCAGATTCCCACGAGAGCTACAAAAGAGTATTTAAAAAATGACAGAGCCATGCCATACTGTTTCTCATGTAACAAAATAACAAAGGAAAAAAATGAGTATTCATTTGAAGTCACACAGCAGAACATGCTACCCAAGTTGTAATTTGTTTTCAAACCCTCCTAAACATGAGTGGAGTTAATATTTATCTTTTAAATATTATTAATGATAAGGATAATTTGGATAATATCTCAAAAATATAAGTTATTAAATGAATAAATAATACTCCCTCTGTCCACCATAGATCTTCCCAGACACTATTCACATGGCCAAACTTAATTCACTTTGTTTGTTTATTTTCACTACTCATTTTATAAAATAATATGATGTTGTCACCTCTAGTTTTGTAGAACTTTTCATGTAGTTTATTACTACATAGATTTTATATTAAAATTTTACCCCTATATTCAAATAAATTGAATTGAAAATAAAGTCGGTCAAGCTTCGTAACGCGCAATGGGAAGATCTTAGGTGGACGGAGGGAGTAATAAATTATTCTTATCCATTTCTGCGATGGAGCGATGAGCGAGGCTGCGATTCAACGAGCGAGATACTAGATGATGGAAGGCTGAGGCGAGGCTAGCGGCGACTTGCAAAGAAGGGTCGGGACTGGAGACAAATACCAGAGAGAGAAGGTATGTTTAATTGTAAGACTTCCCCACCCGCCTAGGGTTTTCTTTGCTAGTCAATCTCTCCCTTGGGAACGACAACGGACACCAAACAGTTGCCCAGGCAAAAACAGAGCTAGGCATCCCTTCTGGCACCTCCCTTCATCTGCTCAGACGCCTAGGCGACACCTTAATACTATGCATACAGATAAAAGGAATGACCTTAATTGGAACTAGATACAACCATAAATACACCCACTGTATTTCCAAAAGTGAGGTCTAGAGAGGTAGGATGTCAGAAAACCTTACCTCTACCCGTGAAGGGTGGAGATACAAAAATAAAATTTTACTTCTAATCGTTTTATAGGAAAATATGAACGAAAATAGTGATTATAAAGCAAACTAAAAGAAAAAAAGTTTTTAAGTAGTGCAAACCAAGCATTGGTTCTTTATCTAACCATAATCTCTTAGGGTCCATTTGGAAAGGTGGAAAATGACTTTGAGAGTCTTTGTCCTCATTTTCTATTGTTTTGCAAGAATGGAAAATCAACCTCATTCAAACGGAAAATGAGGTTTGTATTCCGGTATTTCCCAATTTTTTCAGAAGTCATTTTCTGTATTCTCCTCTCCTCGATTCTTCTTCTTCATCTGATCTCTGTCTTCTCCTCCCTTACCATTCTCTGTCTTCTCCTTGCTTTTTTGTCTCCCCACCTTCTGATTCTCCATCTTCTCTTTGCCTTCTTCAATCCCTAAAACCCAATACCCATCATGGTAAGGCACAAGCAAGCAGCTGACGGCGGAAGAGGCGATCATGGACTCCAAACGCACACCTCACACCTTTGATGGGCGAACACAGCCATGGTAACGCTGAACGAGTGCTTTGGATAGGTGCAATTCCGGGGAAGAAGCGCTTAAGGTGCGATTCAGGGGATGGGTGCGCAACCCCAGATCTTGTTTACAGATTATTTCAATTTTATTAAAAATTTAGGTTTAATTTCATATTTTCATGGATGAAGCATTTAGAGTGCGGTTAACCGGTTATATTAAACATTTAGGTTTAATTTCAACTTTATTTGATTTAAAATTACGTGTGCTGAATGATGGATTTATAATTACAAGATTGATTGTGTTCGAATATTGATACTCTTGTTCAAATTTGATCGACTCATTTTCCAAACATTGCTTTCCAGAAATGAACCAACAATTTTCAGACATTCAGCCAACCACCAAAAAAAGAAAATGATTTCAGGAAAATAGCTCAATTTCCACAAGTCTTTTTCCAGGTTCCCAAACGGACCCTAATAGTGAAAAGTTAAGAAAAACACACATAGGATAAAAATACCAAAAATACAAAAACATTGGTCATAGTTACCTGCACGAGCTGATTGTGGATGGCATCATGGCAGAACAAAGTTTGTACTTGGGAGTTAAAACCTTCTATCTCGGTTTCTTCGAGTTCATCCTCAAGGTTCATTGCCAAAACTCGGGTTTCACTAATAAAGCTCACAACCAAAAAGGTGTCATATGCATCATCTGTAGCAGATCTAAGTGACCACATTCCCTTGATGCCTTGAAGTTCTACAGATGCCTATAGGTCAGAACACACGATCAGCATGGAGATGAATCATATAAATGCATTGCCAACTTCATTTGAAGATATAGACCTGTTCATTAATCCCAATTCCATTGCGAACAACTCGAAGTGATCCATCTTTATACGCCCCCGAGCAAATTACAACTTGACCTTGACCTTGTCTCTCAATGTCAACCACACAGAAGTCCACAATTGGTCCCAAATTGACATATCTTTCTAAAACTTCTACGTATGAACCTTTAGCATCAGGCTGGAAATTAAGCTTTATAAGCTGCATCAATTAGGAAAGGGAACTCAATATCACGCCCCAAAAGACTTGAATGCAGATTAGTGGAAATGGAAGATGTAAGTAAAGTGACATAATGTTTACAGATGATTGCCAATAGCAGAAAATGTGCAGCAGGTGCATATACCAACAAACTTTAGTTTTCACCAAGTATTCCATGGGGGAATGAAAATGCATTCTCAAATCTCAATAAATAATAGAAAAAGTTCAATTTGACAGTTAAAGCAAATTAGGTTCTAGTGTTTTCTCCATACTTTCTTGTTTAGGTAGGTTGATGGAAGTCACACAATAAATGAGTGATGATGAATATACAGTCACGAGTCTACACAATTATTGATGGTTTTCTAATTCAACAGGAACCAATTCATATTCCATAACCAATTCAATTTGAACAACAACCAAGTGGAATCCCGTGAATGGGAAGAGTACATGAATGTAGACCTTACCCTACCTAAGAAAGTTGAGAGGTTTCCAAAAATACACATGGCCTAAGCAATATGTAAAAAGTAATATATATATATATATATAAAAGCCAAAACGGCACACCTAAAAAACGACCAAACCCAATGAAATATTCTAACCAACTAACCTAATCCTCAATCACCAAACATGTCATGAGGAAATGCTTCCTAAAAAAATACCTGTGAATCTCCAAAACTAGATCCAATATACACAACAGCATTATCCAGGTAAGAAATTGTTGATGCAATTGAAGTCTCTCCCAAAAGCTCACTTTTGAGTCCAGTAACTCTACAAGAACGAAAAAATTGGAGGTTCGTTAAGCAACTTGAGAAACATATTGTGTCTTTTCTAATTAAGTGAAAATACATAGAAACGGTTCAAAAGAGTGCTACACACTTTTCCTTTTCATGAGTTATAACAAGTAGATGAAGAAGCCCATTGTGGTCCCCAAGTATATAGCGAGATCCATCAGCATCCACCCTTCCATATGCTTTTGTAACGGACTAGAAAGAGATTTTTACAAAAAAAAAAGAAAAGAAGGAATAAGTACAGTTAAGACTTTCGTGTTGCTATAGATTAGTTCAGATTTGGTGCAGCACACAGGCACAAAGAAACTTAATGGATGCAACTTACAGGTCTAATGGGTATTGCCTTAAAAGCTGTGGCACTGCAATATACAATGGTTTCTTCCCCGATAATAAGTACACCACAGAGAGGTGATGGCACAGGGATGAGCAAATCAGCTCCATTATCAAGGTTATTTTGAGACCATGGACCCTCAATAAAATCTTTATCTTTCAATGAAACCTCGTATGTTTTGACATGACGGGCATCTTTATTATCCTGTCAATTAAGCTATATGGTGTAAGATCATTACTTGACAATAAGGAACATACAAAGCTTCATTAACAATCCTGAAGAAAACTTTTATATACTGCATACACAGGTACAATAAACCCAATGCTATTGAGTTATATATCCACTCCAACTAAAAGCTAGTCATTGGAGAGGGGAGTGCTTTATTTGTTTGTTAATTTATTATCTTCCACGAAGATTACCAGGGTGCACGTAACCAGGCAATTGCATAGATCTTATCAACAAAATTTGCCTGCCAACTAAGTTCATAAGGAAGGTTATAGAGACCTGGTAAAGAACAACTATGGTAGGCTTTGAACAGCCATACAAGAATTTGATATCCAAAACTTGAAGTTCTTCTAGCCTGAAAATGGAAACCAGTAAACATAAAGATTAACTGTCTTGGGAAAATTTTAGATGCCAAATATCTAGTAAACATATACCTGTGTGTGTATTGTTGGAGTTAATGCAACTCGGGTCAAAGAAGCCAAGTACTGGTGTTGGGTTCTTGGGCCCGAGTTGTATTTCCAACACACATGCTGATATACATACATACAAGCAAGCATACATGTGTGTGTGGAGGGGTGGCAATAGGAACAATAAAAATGCACATAACCATAGAAGCAGAATCTAAGCCATTATTTAAGATCAAACGGTTATGATCATTGTAGAAAACTTTTGCCTAAAAACCCACTTTCACACACACGTCCGCACATATAAACAAAACAACTAACATGACCATGTCGCCCATTGTCAAAATGAGCTAAAAGTGTCATTATTGACAATGTTTTAGTTTTGGACACATAATGGACTAAATCAAAATGGAACATTAAACTTTGCTTGCTTCTTACTTTCTGTGAAGTTCTGGGCAGCAATGCATCTAGGGTATAACGAAAACAACATATCTTTTTTACAGGGGTAAGACTATGTATATATTGACCCCCTAGACCACAATGGAGTTGGGATTATGATGGGTTGTTGTAATTTCCATTACTATGTTCAGTAGAAGCATTCAGGTGCACATTGATTTTATTTAATATTCTTAACTTTATGATGAGCCAATAATGTTAATCTTTAACATGAACTGAAAATACTATACCGGTCATATAAGGTGCACTAATTGCTTGTCTTTTTTTGCTTCTCTTTTTTGTGTTGTGATTTTATTTATATCTTTCGAGTTAACCCTCAAGACTTCCCCTTTGACCATTTTCAAATACCTCTCGTAAGTCTTTAGCTAGGTTAAAAATATACTGATAATACAGTTTGCATAAGTCATTGAGCTGTATAATTTGTTTTAAGCATTTAGTATTTGTACATTTCTACTGTATCAATTCCTTCCATTCAAACTTTACCTTGAAACCAATCTCTCTTAACAAATTATTCTTTTTGAATTATCATCATTTTATAGTAAAAATATTAAATTCCCATTTATCTTATTACATGGAAATAAAATTACAATCCGGGAGTGTTTGGTAGATTCCCCAAGACGATGCCAAGTGTTCGGCTTGCATCTTTTCCATTTTCATACCCATTCCTCACACCCACTCATGGTAGTCAATATCGCGATCCGGATCGTACAATTGTACGATTCCGGAGATCGCTAGGGGGGTACCGACTTTTGATATAACTTGCCCTCAAAATCGCAAAAATCCTTTGGGTCCGAAGAATCACCGATCTGGATCGTGCAATCGCACAATTGCAGGAAATCGTTGATCTAAAAGAAGAAAAGAATTGGAAATTTGAAAAGCCCTATTTTGTTGCTTCGATTTTGTCGATTTAGTCGCTTCGACTATTTTGCGACTTCCAATTTGAATCGCGATGATTTCGCGACTTCCAATTCGACTATTTTGTAGCTTCTAGCCTTCTCCCTTCTAACGCGGCAAAGCTTGTTGCCCTGCGCGTCTCCTCCGCGTCTCCTCCGCGTCTCAATTCTTGCCCAGGTTATATTTATGATTTTTAATTATATATAAGGAGTGTGGGTTATACTGTAAAAGGGTAATATAGATTACCATGCACCCACTGGAATGGAATTATCATCCCTCCTCCCCCTTGGCTCCTTGGTATGAACATTCCCCGTTCCCTTTGTCTTCACCACAGTCATCCCACCCCCATCAAACACCCAGCCCTGTCGCCCTACTCCCTACTGAGCACAGCCACTGTAGCCCATTCCCCTCTTGTCTCCATTGAAGAAGTTGCAAAAGAGAAGATTGAATAAAGAGAAAAGTTGCAGAGTAGAAGATGAGGAACGAAGGTGCACTAGAAAAAATTTAAAAGAAAAAAAGACCAAGATGTAGAGAATAAATCTGATTTGAGAAGAAAAGAAAATGCAGAAAAAGGATTGATAGAGAAAACACTAGTTTGATTTAAAAATACAAACCGAATACCTGATATCATCTATAATACTTAAACTCATAAGAGTTTGTTTGGAAGGGGGATGAAATGACATCCGGAAGTCATTTTCCCTATTTTTCAGTGTTTGGCAAGATAAGAAAATGGAGTCAAAGGAAAATGAAGTCCTAGTCAACTGGAAAATTAAACATCAAATCAGGAATTGTCTTCCGGATTATTTCTCCTGAAGTCAATTTTCATTCGTCTTCTCCCCCTCTTCACTCCTCTTTACCAGCCCTATATCTGNCCCCATCTCTTTCTCCGGTTTGATGCTTTCCTGTTTCCGGTCATGGCAAGGCAAAGGCAAATAGCAGACAGATGGCTGAGAGAGTGCTATGGAATGATTCCATGTACGAATAGATTCCAATTTCAATTTTGTGATTCCATGTGCGAATTTGATTTCCATTTCAGTTTTGTTCATATTTGATTATATGCATGGTTGGATGGCTGGCTAAGTGAGGGCTGTGGAATCTTGTTTAAATTTGATTTTTTTTTCATTTTTCAATCCTCATTTTCCAGAAACGAACCAAACAGAAATATAGAACTTTCATACTTTCACCCAAACATCAAAAAAGAAAATGATTTCACGATAAAAAACTCATTTTCCAGAAATTATTTTCTAGAAGTTTCATTCCAGGATTCAAAAGGTCCCTATATCTCGCTCAATATTCCAAATGGATACCAGTAAATGAAGCAAACACGCCCTTAGTGGATCTTATTTTTAATGCATTAGGCATCAATATGCATTAGTTTTTTCGCACAAAATGTGCATAGTGTACATGTAATAGAACTCCAAAGATATCTTGATGTAATCTTCAACTCATTTGGGTGATTTAACTCTCTTAGATTTTAAGAGGGTTGTCACATGTGCCATCATTGTTTCTCACGTGCCAAGAGAAGTAACTAAAACCATCTCAGAGATTACTTAAGTATCCATTGTCTTAGCTATTAAGAGTCTGGAGTCTAAAATCATTACTTAATGAACGCTATCTCCAAAAATTGCTATTCAATGAACAAGAGGGGGGTAGTACCTCATGTTGAAAGCTTCCTTCATCTGGCCTTTGTTATCAAATGGTATCACCTGGTACACAAATAGTTTTCCATCAAGGAAGGTATTAGACAAGGAAAAAAACATAATACTTTGAAAACCACGAAACAAAATTTCATTAATATCAAGGAATGATACCTTGAATAATCCATCATATAGATGAAGTCCAATCAATCTGCAATCTGGGTCAATTACGCCAATCTAGCAAGAACAAACCCATAAAAAATAAGTAATACGTAGTGTTGACTGGCTTGCTGTTGCACCAAGGAACGGGAATAATCTTCTGAGCCATAGCCCCCCCCCCCAAGCACATATTTCAGCATTGGTCATTGATATTTCCAGGCTTTAAAATAATAGAGAGATCCCATTTAAAAAAGACGGATCTCCTTTAAATAGTAGAGAGAAAACTTAAACAACTAAATACAGAATTACATATTTGTTCCTGCAGAAATATTTTCCTGCAAACTTAAAGCATACCTGCCCATTATCAGTGGGACGGCCAATTCGATCAGAGACATCTCCCATTGCCCTATATTCAATGCCAGTCAAAACACCATCAAGCACTCTTATTTGTGAAGGAAATAAGTAAATAAATACAGTAATTGGAACCACAATGATGAGTAGACCCAATGCTCATCATAGTGTAGAGATAGCATGATATTCCTGCTACTAAAGTCACACAGGTCTATTGGACATCATACTTTAAGATAGACAGAACAACAACAAACTAGTGAAAGGGGATTATATGTGTTAACTATGATGTCTGAAAAAACATTGGGAATTAATTCTGACAAGCAGGATCTCATCGATGATCAATATGCTTTCTTCGTAATTGCATACAACAACCCAGTTGGATCCTACAAAAGTAGGGTCTGGGGAGGGCGTGTACGCAGACCTTGCCCCTACCCAAAGGTAGAGAGGCTGTTTCCATGAGACCCCGGGCTCAAGCTGCACATTAAAAGGTTCTCAATAGATACATAAAGCAAGGAAAGCAGAGATACAACGCAATAAAGCACCAAGCACAAAGAATAAAACTAAACCGTAAAACTATGAAACGAGATTCTTTGTAATTGCATAGTGAGTAAAAATTAGTCACATCACATTTTAAAACCATAGCACACAGCCTGCCATTCAAATTAGTAGTGGAAGCAGAAATGTGTCAGAATTTTTTAATTGTAAATGTTCAACTAAATACACCAGTCTACGCTCTAATTAAAATTTATAAATGTGTCATTTTATATAAAATAGCAAGTAATATGAAAATAGAAGACTTATTGATAATCAGACCTTGTAATAACCTCGGATGTCTCTGCATCCCATTGAAGAACACAAAATTTGTATCTTTCAGTTGCAATAAAAAGCAGATCTTGTGATTCCCCCTGTCATTAAGAATAGATATCATAGCCAACACGCTGCTATCACAATGTTTGCACAGTATGTCTGTATAGGTTGCAATTCTTTTTTAAATGTACTCCCTCCATCCTCTTTTTATCTTTTCCTATTTCTCTTTTTTGGATCATCTAGAATAGATTTACATGTCCTTCAAAGGAAATAATTTTGTGTTCTGTATTGATTCTTTCAGCTCTAAATAAATCTAAATCGCACAATTTTCATTTTCTTAAACTCCGTGTAAAACACAATTGACAGCACTAATTAGGGATGAAGTATATAGCACTTTTAACACTTCAACTCACATGCGGACGAAAAAGCTCAAGTGTGGCAATTCTTCCATAAATTGGCACGTCCAACATAGGCTGCATACAAACTTACCGAACTCAAACTCAACATTATTTCAGGATAATATGAAAATTATTGGAGAACAATGAAAGAGGTCACCGCAAGTTATGCAGCAAATGAATGATGATTGTTTATTATCATTGATAAAATGAAGATGTCACTTAATACTTTGTAGTGTAACAGGAGAAAAAATTATTGCACCTGTAAACCTTGAGAAGTGAGTAAATGAATCTCGATACGAGTGCATTTCCTGATGCAAATTGGATCATATCAGTAATTATGAATCAAAGATCAAATACAAAATGTTCAACATTAAGTATTCAGAATATTCCAGGCTAAACTTTGTTTCTCAAAGGGCAACCTAGCTAGCTTGTGTTTACTATATGGAATAATAATAAGCAGAATACTGATTCCTCAATAGGAGATTAGTTTTCCCTTGTTATCTCATTGGTGCTTAGGATCACTCAACTAAGTGTTACAAGGCTTAAATGGAGCTCCAAGTTCTAGAGAACTATGAATTAGGTTGCATGTTCAAGAATGTAGTACCACAGGGTTACAAGTGAATTAGATAATTATGTTCTAGAATTCATCCAACATCTTGGTCATATATCCTCTTGCATAGTTGCATGTCACATAAATCTGCTTCTAGTATTTCGGTTTTTGATGTTTTCCTTGTGGATTGCCATTTAGAAAATGTGTACTTATTAGAATAGGGCAAAATTTGACAATTGAAGTATATAAATTGAAAAAACCTGAACTGCATTTTCTCTCTATTTTTAGGTACTAAGTGCAATAGAAATGAACAAATAGGACTGTGTGCACTCACCGCCCATGTGATTATGCATAGACAATACATCACTTGACACTAACCTTTACATAGAAAGGGCTATGTCCCATGATATGCATGTTGATTTATTGTTAGGTTGTGGAGCCTAATTAATATTTGATGTACAGACATATGTTAATGTTCAGGATTGTTCACGCGGGGGTGTGGAGGGCAAGAGCCCCCACCCCAAGGTGGGGAAAATTTTAGGTTGTACTGCTCATTATTTATTCTCTGTAATTGTAGATACCCCGTATCGTCAATATATACCCGACCGCCATGAAAGTTTACCCATGGGATGTTACCACAAAACTCATACGTTTTCTCTCTCTAGTTTTCCCGAATTCTCTCCCAACAAACTAAATCAGTGTTTGGTAAATGGGTTCTTGAATAAACCCTATGAACTCAAAAAGCCAAAAACGGATGGATGAAAAAAACTATAAATAGCAGTGTCTTGTGACTACCATCGAGGTTGCACTGGGATGGTTGCGGGTGCATGTATGGGTATGGGGGCGGAGACGAAAAACGGCATTTTTGAAAATTATAGGATGCGGGGACAGCAAGGATACGGCAACAAAAATAATAGAATACCAAATATAGAATTGTATATGTAAAAAAACAAAATTTAATTAACATATACCAATCCAACCGCATACATGATATGACAAAATGTTGAATAATTGAATGCTATTACTCTCAATGTCCAATAAATAAATTAAGTCTCATTTTGACTTATTTGGTCAAATAGTGGCATTCTTTAACAAAAATTAAATATAATTTTTTACAGAATTAAATAATATAAAAGTTTAATATATATTAATACTACTTCTTAAAATGAATTGAATTATATTAAATTCATATTATAACTCAATATATATTTTTCACAATTTATGTAAAAAAAGTGTCAAAATTTGACCTAAAAGGTTAAAATGAGACTTTAATTTTGAGACAATTTTGAGATAGAGAGAGTAACAGAACTATTTTCTTTTTTATAAATTAAAATTAAAATACGAAGATTTCATGTATTCCAATAGGCTAGTAGCTATCTTTGCAAAAAAATACAAAAGGTAAGGCAAAAGTAATAAAGCAACATACCTGCGGAAAGAGAAAAGAAGGTGCGGGTATAAGGGGCTAATAATAGGCATTTTAAATTAAAAAAGCCTAATTTCTATCGATATTACCTTGCACAAACTGAAAAGGAAAGAGAAAAGAAGGTGCGGGTCGTTGGGTCAAACCCTGGATCCGAACCTCGTACACCCCTACTTCCCGTTTCGGGCTTGCGTGAACTTACCGGCAATTCCTATGCGTTCTCAATGGTTCTGGTTTGTCTACTACCGTCCCCAGCACCAACCCTGTCCCTGCGACGGTTCCAGAGCACCAAGCTACACCTAAGTGACGCACCCGTGTAATCTAGACTACCATATAGGCACTTTAATATAATCGCAAGTAGCTTATGCAAATCATATGCCACTTTTCAGTTTTCAAATTATATCCTTGCCATGTGTCCTTAATTAATTTCTTGGGTTTGACTTGGCATGGAGTTTTAAGAAAGAAAATTGTGTAACTTAGATCTATCTAGAAAGAAAAGAAATGTCAACCTCACAACTCTATCATAAAGGAGAGATGAACGTTGTGTTGGAACAACCCAAAAAGGAAGGAAGATATTAAAGGGGATGGAATGAGATCATAGTTATTTAAGGCGTGATGCGCACCGATGCACGAAGGGTTTCTAGCGCCTTGATGTGCGATGCGCATCTGATGCGAGTGGCCGAGTGCATCACAAACACGATGAGCATACGTAGGCACCAGTGGATTCTTCCATATTATAACAATGTGTTTGAAAAAATCACTTAAAAAACAAAAGGTATATTAAAAAAATATAGCAGTATGTTTGGAAAAAAAGAAAACTAGTGTACATCTAAGGAAAATAAAGAAAACCAGTGAAGAATGAAAACATTACCATAACTCAGGTAACTGCTTGTGCGACATGCCTTGTAGGTGTGCGACTTACCGTAACCATTGAAGAACGTGTGCTTCTTGCAACTTGGAAGGAGGAAGAGTCAAAGACAGTGGAAGAAAAGAAAAGAAAAGAAAGAGAAAAGAGAGTCGTTTAATCTTGCAAGAGACACCTTTATGCCGTTTAATTTCTTGGGGGTCATAAAAGGTGAGGCGGCATAAATAATAACACTAATCCTTACACCTAATCTTTAGAAAAAACTTAAATTAAAATTTGTTCCCAATGCTTTTTGCGCATAACTATATGTGCATAATAAAATGAGGCACAGTAAGGCGTGCGCCTCATGAACAGTGCGCACATCAGGTTTGGTGATGTACTATCCCTAGCACATTGTGCGCATCGCACCTCAGGCACGCTTTTCACAACTATGAAAGAGATACTCCCTCTGTCCCGCAAAAGCGTTCCACATGATTTGGCACAGAAATTAAAAAAATGAAATTGTGTGGTTGAAAGTGCTGTAGACAACAGAGAAAAAATATGGGCCACAACTTTTTTTCTAAAAGTGGAAAGTGGAACCTTTTTTGGGTGAAAGAAAAAGGAAATGTAGAACCTTTTTGTGGGACGGATGTAGTATCGTTTTACTTAAGTTGTCGATCAAACTATTTGTAACTCCCTTTGTCCTATTTTATTTATTCTACTTCCCACTTTATTTGTCCCAAAAAAATGTGAACTATCCTAATTAAAGTATTCAACACACCACAACTTTTTATTTTCTGGTTCCGAATAAGATTTTCCTCTCAATTTTCTAAAGGATTTGAAGCTAGTGGGAGTAAAATATATGAATCTGGATAAAGAAAGTCAGAAATGAAAAGATAAAAGTAGAAGAGGTAATTCAATCTTAGAATGGGATAAAGTGACTTTCATGAATTTTTCACTGGAAACTACAGAAGTTTTTCTCACCAATATCTTTTATGTAGCATCCATTATTCCACAGTATCCTGGTTTTTTTATCAAAGGCATTTGCTATTCTAGGCAAGCAAAGGCTGCAAATCGCGGATTTCATATCTCTTTGTTTCCTTAATATCCTACCCAAACTAATATAGAGCAAAAACATATGTCAACATCCACACCTTCATAGCTCATTCTAAGGGAACATATGCACAAAGCTTATAACCTTTTTTTCATCTCTTAATAGGTCCACCGGTAACTACCAGTTACTACATATCCAAGATCAAAGGTATAAGAACAAGAATTGCTAGTACCTAATACATGTGACCTAAGAGGCTAAGAGCAGAAACTACAAAATTGCATCACCTACAAAAGATCCCCAAATGATTAAACATTTAACCTCCTACATTCCAATAAGATAACACTTTTTAGCAGTTCAAGAACATTATGGACAACATGGGCAGGTAGCTACTAGCTAAACTGGTGTGAACCCGGGACTAAACGTAAATGCTACTGGCTAATGCACCACTCAGAATGACCAATGGTGGTTTACTACATAGTAAACTTCAGCAATAGTGCGGGATTAGTAGTCCGAAGTAGTCGTGACTCCGGACACACACTATATATATACACACACTCCTTCCGTCCCTGATTAAACATCACTCCTTTTTCATTACTCCTAAAACAAACTCTTATTCCCTTTTAAAGTGCTTTAGAAGAATTGGTTGAGTACACATAAACCTAAACAAACACATCAGATTTGAAGGAGGATGGGAGGAAAAAGGCTTACGCGATGATCAAATTGAGCTCCTGCGAACCAGTAAAGTTGCCGACACAGGAATGGGTGACGTTGGTCGGCTTGTGAGCAGTCACAACATAGTTCCAGATACTCATCTCTCCCCGACTTTGAATGTCTGCAACTATTAAAACCCTAGAAACCCCTCTCTTGCCCTCCCGCTGGTATAGACGATGGACGGGACGAGTTTGTAGTAGAAGGAAGCCGGGAGGAACCCTCTAGTGTTAGTCGACGCCCCTGTCCGCCGGAGCAACCTTACCGAGACTCCGATGAGAGTGACCTAGACTCGATGGAGTTTGATATTAGTAATTTTATTTAGTTGCAGGGCTTGGACAGCTTCCGGACCATGGGGGAACAGTAACTTTTTTTTATTTTAATACTTATTCAAAAAGAAAACTCCTAAATAGGAGCAAAACTCCTCTAAATAGGAGTAATTAATATTTTTGTTGTACAATTATTTAGCCGTCGGGAGCCACCCATTCACTGCCTTGGGGGAAATTAAATGAACATAACTTCTTCAATCCAAGTTAATTATTTAGCCGAAACAATCCAAATTAATTGTTTAGCCGCCCGGAGTATATGGCTAGCTATTAGTCTATTACTTCTTCAATCCAAACTCTTTCTACTCGTATTTGTTTTCTTTTTTCTTTTTTGGAATTCTTTTTTATTACTATTGGTGGGGTTGGAATTTTTTTTGTTTTTTTGGCATAGAACTAACAATGGAGAGATTGTGTGTTTATTTATTTTAATTGTCTTCTTCCCATAATTAATGACTTCGTGGGCTCGATGCATGCACATGTATCAACGAGTACAATTAAACTTTTGGCATTTTGCAGAGCCACGTTTGTCATTGTACATTGACATTTTTGGTATTTTATTTTCAATTGACCTAAAATTTTGTATTTTTGCATCTTACAATCTCATGTTTGTCACTGTATGTTGTCATTTTTAGCATTGTATTTTTGATTGACGGTGTATGAATTATTTTTTTCTCCATGTAACACCATGGCCCTACACCTGTGGGGGTTAGCGATGCCGAAAACGTGCGACGATAACAGATCTTGGCGGCGGTAAACGGTGAGTCAACAACTCCTATTTTGGGGGTTTTATGTTTTTACTCATGTTTTGGATTTTAATTCAATGTTTTACTCCTAATTGTGAGTAAACGGTGAGTCATCACTCTTCTCTTAATTGTTTGTCTAATTAGTGGAACCCAAATTCGAAACCAGTAGCCTTCATGGATGAGTTTTAATGTTTATTTTCTTTGCAATTTCTTGAGACTAACTGATAAAACTCATTCATAAAGCTTATTTGTTTTGATTTAAGATTCCACCAAGAAGACTAATAATTGAGAGAAGAATGATCATTTCAATTTTGAGTTTAGAGCTTCAAACTCAGCGACAGATTTGGAAAAGAGTACGAGAGGAGAGAAAAGGCTTAATTGAGGAGAGAGAGAATCATGAATATACAATTTTATCCACATTTTAACAAAAATGTTAAAAAAAGATCATTAGTAAAAAATGATATAATAATTATGACTAAATTAGTAATATTTGATATGTAAGGAGTAAATATGTAAAACTACCCCTAGTATTTACTCTGTTACTCCGTATTTATAATAACCTACCGCGCCCACCACACAAACCGGCTGTAAACCAGGGTTCCGTCGTCCACTTGTCCCTTCCGTCCAAACTCGTTCAGGTAGGAATGGCTTTTTTTCAGAAATCTGGTTTCCTTTTCTGGGTTCGCTTTGGTGCCGTTCTCTAGTTTTTTTTTTTATTTCTGCAGCTCAATTTGACCATTTTTTCTCAAAATCTCTAGTTCGGTTTAGGTTAGTTTGAATCTTCGGAAGATACACTTGCTCCTCAATTTTCATGTAATCATGTTCATACACTAATCACAATAATGGTTTTCCATTCTAAATTTTTAATAAAATCATATATTGATGAAATGTGATGATTTTGGGGCTATTGCGGGGAAGTTTATTGATGTAATGTACTCCCTCCCTCTCACAATTAGATTAACAATTTGAAGAAGAAAATTTTTGAGAAATGAAAAGTGTATGGTTGAAATTTGTTTAGAACGAAGAGAAGCCTTGCAATCCACATATTTTTTTGTTCTTGAAAAGGAAAAAGATCATGTGTATTTTTTATAGTGGTATTACGGAATATAGTAATTGAGTAATCGAAGCAAACAGAAAATGTAAAGACACAGAGATTTAACGTGGTTCACCAACGTTGTGTTGGCTACGTCCACAGGCAAGAACGGAGGCGGATTGCCCCCGTTTCCTCATTTGCGTAGCGGCAAACAGATTCAAGGCACATTAACATATAGGTTAAGAAACAAGGTTGTGTTTGGTTGGAGGATAGGGAAGGGAAGGGAAATCCTCAATTGGCTAAAAACCTTTGGAGGTGGAGAGCCAAAATTTTCCTTCCTGCCTCAAAATGTTTTGAGATATGAACCAAATGAAGGGAGGGGAGCACTTGCCATCTTCTCCAACCAAACACTCCACAAGAGAAATGAGGGTTGTGTCACTTTGTGTTCTTTATTTTTACACTTTGTTTGGTTTGTGGAATTTGAAAGGAAAAGAAAAGAAAGATGTTTTCTCTCCATTTCCTCGTCAAAACGGAAGGAAAATCATTATCCTTCTTAGTACATTTTCTCCCACCCATCTTCTTTTCGTTCCACAATTCTTTTGTTTTTCCTCTATAACCGAACAAGAAAAATAGTTTTCCATATAATTTTCTTCTTTTCCCTTTCAATGCCTAGAACCAAACATAGTGCTAGTTTTGATCGGAATTTTCATTGCAGATTTCCCACACAGTTTTCTTCACCTGCATTCATTGAGACCATTGTTCTGTTTTTATCTTTTCTGTTTTCCTTCATCATTTCCTGATTTTTTGGTAAATAGCTTATCCTGTTTGGTCCAAGACGCGCTTATACAAAAACTCTACCGCCCGCCCTCTTATTGGAAGAGCTTTTATCTGTCTTTCGGACTCTTTCCCAAGCAAATCAAACAAACAACGTTTTTACAGATTTTTTCCTACCAAACTTAGCTTTTTTTTTTATGATGCTGTATCAAATAGACAATACAATCATCTATTCATCTACTGCAGACAAGCCTCAATCGATCCTGATCATTTAATACTTACTTGTAAATGTTGTTTGCTTTTGTTTTCACATCTTTTCTGTTGCATTTAATAATTACTTACATAAATCTTGACCCCTAGACCCAATGGAGTTGGGATTATACTTGGTTTGTTGCTGTTATATTTTCTGTTGCAAGTTGTGTGCTATTACTAACTTTTAACCATTCTTCTCCAGACAGAGTTTCAAAGGACACATGTCTTCAAAAGCCAATGACAAGATTCTCAGCTACAATGATGTTGTACTAAGGCGCTCGGATCTTGACATTCTTAGCGGACCACATTTTCTAAACGACCGAATAATCGACTTCTATTTCAGTTTTCTCGCCTCAAGGTTCCCATCTGAGGATGTTTTACTGTTGTCCCCGTCGATCACCTTCTGGATCAAAGAGTGCAGAGACACTTCCATGCTTAAGGATTTCATAGAACCCCTCCGTCTCTCTCAAAGGAAACTAATCATCTTCCCAATCAATGACAACTCGGACGTGGATTTAGCCGAAGGGGGAAGCCATTGGAGTTTACTTGCTTTTGAGAGGGGCTCCAATGTGTTTGTCCACCACGATTCCAGCTCGGCCTGCATCAACAAGCATGACGCCAGACATGTCTACGAAGCCGTTCTCCCTTTTACAGCATCTGGAATGGCTACTTATGTTGATTACTCAGGGACACCGGAGCAAGAAAACGGGTATGATTGTGGGGTATATGTCCTTTCCATTGCAAGGGTCATTTGTGATTGGTATGGAAGCAGAGGACAAGAGGAGGGAGTAGTTGATCTGTGGTTTCCCTCCTTGAAGGAACAGATAAATGCAGGTGCTGTTTCAGAGATGCGCGACGAGGTTCGAAGGTTAGTTGTTGATCTAATGGCGAGGAAGTAGTTACCAGAGATGCCATTGTTGACACAGATCATAGAATTGCAATAGATTTGTTTGTTTACTGTTGTTGTCTCACCAGGGTGCTATTTCTTCTTCAGATTTTTTATATTTGACTTTTTACGATCTCTTATGCAACACGTTAAACGATAATGCTTAACTTAGATGTATTTTAGAAACATATGATATTTCAAAATATCATATCCATTTTTGACAATTCCCCGCACACAATAATAACATGCGGAGTATAAGGAAATGAAATAGTCCCTCTAGTTTGTCGATTCCTATTTTATATTTTGAATATGCGTTCAACAAACCCATTTTCATCGACCAGAAATAGTTTGAAAAAATAAGAATTGACAAACTACTTTTTCACTAGACGGGAAAGCACTCGCCAAGATAAGATTCATCATAGCCTCAAGTCACAAATTTTGATGCATAATGGTGTTAGCATTCTCGTGACCCCTATAAACTCCATATAAAGATAAATTAATACTCTTTCCATCCCAAAATAAAAATTACTTGTAAGCGTCTGTTCGGAAATAATTTCAACATTTAATTTTAGCATTTTGAAAATGCAATCTAACAACAAATGAGTATCGAAAATAGACAAAAAAACATATGCAATTTAACCATTTTTGTTAAATGTTACTATGTTAGAGCAACTCCACGCATGAGTTATATGCTAAATATACAAGTTATACATGATTTTGTAGTCTTTTTCCTACTCCAATGGGTCATTTATAATTTAGCATGGAAGTTATAAAAGAAGACATGTCATCTATATATAGAGGATGGCTAAAGCTAAAATGTGCTCTGTAATGCCTTTTTTCTCTCCGTATATTATTATGAAAAATAATATAATATTTTAATCACAATATTTACATAAATATAAATATAATATGGAAATATGAATAAAGTGTTTGTATAAAAAAATTAATTTTAAATAAAAAATATTATTAGTGTAAAAATTAGATGACATGGTTGGAGAGGGGGTGAAAAAGTGGGTTGTTAAAACTTAAAACACTTTTGGGAAGCTAAAATAGCTTTTAGCTTTTCAAATAATAGCTTCTCCCTTGGAGATGCTCTCCTATCTACACATGCATAAAGTCTAACATCTAATAAATATGGTCAAATTGAATCCACATTTTTTCCCTATTTTAGCCTCTGTTTGAAAATAAAAATTAGGAATGTGCTACAGTGCCCCCCACACATGACAATACAGACAATTTTATACCTATGCAGACAACACCGACGATTATCATTTGTGCAATTACAAATCATCTGCATTGTCGTAGTGGGTTTTTAGCATTAATGCATGCAATGTGGTGTATGTTCGGCAACAACTTAAGCATTTAGCATTAGCACTTAAAAAATGTTACGTCTAACATTTTCGTTATTATTTATCCGCACAATTAAAAAAGTATTTGAAAAAAGTAGTTCCCAAACATAAGTCAAAATAAACAAAGGGCCAAAATCGATTCACTGCCATTTAAGGCTGTTGAACGTAAGCTTAGCTTATTTGCCAAACAGAAGATATCATGGGCTAAACTGAACAGCACAAAGAAATGGAAGCAATAATAAACTCATCAACTCTTCTATCTGTTCCAGAAAAGCCTCAATCTGAGTTTGAAATTTTTTCCTACCTCAGGAAATTGGAACATGAAGTTGAACTTACAGACAACTAGACAAGGCAAACAGGGAAAAGAACATGGAACACCAAATTCTGGAATAAACTGATCCTTCAGCATCCAGTCTTTTTTTCCAGATCCATCACAGTCAGTTCATCAAGAATGCCATGGAAGACAGTTCTATTTGTGGGTCTCTCTCCATTCGGTTTCTTTGTCGCTTGTTGATGTCTATGGCCATTATGGATTGGTAAAAAGTGTCTTGGTAGAATGGGGTGAAATAAGAGTCGACCTGCTCTGGATTGACCCTGAAGAACAGGACGAGTGTCTCTAAAAACATCAATTTCTTCGGGTGTAACCTCGGAAGACATCAGAGCTTCTTCTCTCAAATCCACAACATGTTTGTATGCTTTCCATAGAAGGTAATATGCAGCAAATGAAACCAAATATGTGGCTATCATAAAAGCCCATAGTCGTGGACTGTTTTTCTGCAAACACGGGTGTAGCAAATTAGAAATGGCAATGCACAAAACTAACTCACCAGGCAAACACGCGATAAGAAACTTACTCCAACATGCCCTGTAGATAGCTTATAGAGCTCGTTGAAAGTCCCTTCACTGGTGGCATTGCCAAACCTCAAACTATGAGCACTTGAAGCAATCGGGAGAAGTACTGGCAGCAATATCAAGTCCTGTAATCACCAATACCCCGGAGGCAGGGCTCCATTCTCTCTATTGATGATTCAAGTTCCACTTTCCAAAATCTGAACCTCATATAAACTCAATTATCCTCCCTGTTTACACGGGCTCCATTTTATAGCGTTGTGGTTGTGGTAGTAATAATGTATATTGAGTGAAAGTCATGAACTCTTCTTTGTGTTCCAGAAAAGTCTTAATCATGGTTTGAAGGTATTTGCTACAGAAGGAAATTGGAAAATATAAAAAGAAAAACGTGAATATGAAAAAACAGTGAATTGTCAAATACTCAAATACAAATCCAATAGAAACCATGGGATGTTTGCAGTGTAGTGATGGTAGAAAGAATTGCAGTTGAGCTTGTCAATGGCTAAATAAGGAAAAGGACACAGACACCACCATGGCTGCTAACACACCAAATCCGGGATTGAAGTTGAGATGGTTGCCAAACATGCTGCTTATGATTCCCATACATACTATTTCACAGTGGCTCAGATTGTATTTTCCCTATCAGCAAAACAAGAGCACAACCTAACATGGCTGCAAGAAAGTAACTGTCAAGCCATTCAAGCACCCAAGCCAAGATACAAGATGCCCCAAATCCAGCTTTTACTACGGAGTATAAAATAACAAAAAATGCTAATCACTATATCAACTTCGAAAATCATGGTTTCAGTTATACTGGTTATCCCATAATATTAATACAGTTATCGTCGATACTTTGAATGTCTAAGAAGAACCAACGGGTGTTTACAATCCTATATTTTTTACTCAGAGATCTAAAAATTCAATAACGATATAACAACAATCACAACAACAAACACAGTAAAATCCCGCAGAAATGGAGTTTCTATGTAAGCAAAACTATCCCTAACTAGTAAGTAGAGAGACTGTTAAAAATTAATAGTGAAATGCCTTCTGATTTAAATGAAATGAAATGCCTTCCGACTTAAATGCATCTTAGTATATGAGGCTCAGATTACATTTACTCTATCAGAAAAACAGCACAGGACACAGGCAAAACCGACCATGGCTGCAAGAAGACAACTGCCTCGCCAATATGTAGGCCGCCTCGCCCGAGAGATCTGATTATTGCATCTAAAGAAAATCCGTAACAAGATTATCATCACAGCCTCGACTTTGATACATTAAGGTTTCAGTCATTCATCTATTCAAGTTATCCAGAAACTCGGCACAACTGAAATTGATTAACAATATTATACTCCCTCCGTCTCTTAAATAACTTGCATGAATGCAATGTGATAGACGAAGGACCAAAATTGATCAATCGCTATTTAGGGCTGTTGAATTTAAGCTTCACTTGTTTGGGAAACTAAAAAGATGTCATGGGCTAAACTGAACAACACATAGAAAAGGAAGCAACCACCCTCTAAAACTAATCCACTCTTATATGTGTCCCAGATAAGCCTCAACTTGCATTATAAGCTGGTCAAAACTGCTTATAAACAGTTTTTAACTTAGAACTCAGCTGAAGACATATTTCAGTATGCTTATAGACTGACTTATAAGCTGCTTATAAGCCAGAAAAAATAAGTTTTAGCTACTTATTTTTAAGCCAATTTTTTTCTCCATTTTGACCAGATTATTTACAAAGCTGACCCTCACCATTTATGAATATTTACAAATTATTTATCTATCATTTAAGTCATATTACTTCCATGAAAAATACATGACTTCTATTAGCTTACAAGCACCATCATAGAGAAACATTCCCTTATATGAAATGAGATACATTTTGACTTAAATGCATCTCAGTACATGAGGCTCAAATTACATTTACTCAATCAGAAAAACAGCACAGGGCACAGGCGAACCCAGCCATGGCTGCAAGAAGACAACTGCCTTGCCAAGATGCAGGCCGCCTTTCCCTAGAGATCTGATTTTTGCATCTAAACAATCACAGGATTATCATCACAGCCTCAACTTTGATACATTAAGGCTCTGTTTGGTACACATAATTAAAACTATGGAATTCGAATTGAAGACAAAAATTCCAATTCTACTATTTTGTAGCACAAAAATGTGTGGATTTAGAATTGGTAGTGCAAAAAATGAATTGGAATTGGAGAATTCAATTCCATCCAAATCAATTCCATTGAATTTCAACTCCAAATTCCATTTCAATTCCATCAATTCGGTGTATCAAATGGACCCTAAGGTTTCACGCATCCAACTATTCAAGTAATCACAGCAACTCAGCACAACTGAAACTGAAGATTATGGAAGAAGATTGAGGGGCTGTTTGGCAACTTCTGAATAGGTAAGTGCTGAACCAGTAAGAAGTCTGAACCATTAAGAGCTAGTATATTGCTTAACTATTCAAAGGTAAAATGTCTGATCAATTCAGATAAGAGGTATTAATCATTCAAACTCTGTATAATACTTAACCATTCAGAGGCAAATGTCTGAGCCATTCAGACATCTGAACCATTAAGAGGCTGAAACAAATAGTCTGAACCATTAAGTACTGAACCATTTTTAAGAGGCTGAAACAAACAGCTCCTGAATCATTGAATAGGAAACCATGGAAATATTTGGGATATAGTTGCAAAAAAAAGCCGTTCAAGAACATGCAAACAGGGGGGAATACTGACACCGCCAATCCGCCATGGCTGCAATTGCACAAAATCTGGGTATTGTCGGTGTGCTGCCACGCCAAGATACGGGTCAGGTCACCCTAAATGTCCCGGGGCCAGGGCACCATTCTCTCAATTGATAATTCAAGTTCTGCTTTCCAAAATCTGAACTTCATATAAACTAACTTATCCTCCCCCTGTTTACACGGGCTCCATTATATAGTGTTGTGGTTGTGGTAGTAATTATGTATATTGAGAGGAACTCATCAACTCTTCTATGTGTTCTAGAAAAGTCTCAATCTTCGTTCAAAAGTGTTTGCTACAGAAGGAAATAGGAAAATATAAAGACAAAAACGTGAATATCAAAAAACAGTGAATAATCAAATAGAAAGGCAATGGAAACCATGGGGATGTTTGCAGTATAGTAATAGTGGGAAAGAATTGCAATTGAGCTTGTGAACGGGTAAATAGGGAAAAAAGGTCACGGGAACCACAATGGCTGCAAACACACCAAATCCGGGATTGAAAGGGAAATGGTTGCCAAACATGCATTTGATTCCCACACATACTATTACACAGAGGCTCAGATTGTATTTTCCCTATCAGCAAAACAAGAGCACAACCTGCCATGTCTGCAAGAAACTGTCAAGCCGTTCAAGTGCCCAAGCCAAGATACAAGAGGCCCCAAATTCAGTTTTTATTATAAAATATCAAAAAAAGCTAATCACTGTATCAACTTTGAAAATCATGGTTTCAGTTTTACTGGTTACCCATTATTTCAATTCTATTATTGTCAATACTTTCCCAATCAAAGAAGAACCAACAGGTGTTTTCAACCCGTAGAATTTTTAACCATATACGGAGTACAACACAAACTACAAGAACAAGCAAAGCCAGTAAGTAGAGAGGCTGTTAAGAATGAAGAGTGAAATGTTTTCTGATTTAAATGAAATGAAATGCCTTCTGACTTATATGCATCTTAGTACATGAGGCTCAGATTACATTTATTCCATCAGAAAAACAGCACAAGGCACAGGCAAACCAAACCATGGCTGCAAGAAGACAACTGCCTCGCCAAGATGCAGGCCGCCTCACCATAGAGATCTGATTTTTGCATCTAAAAAATACTCCGTAATAGATTATCATCACAGCCTCAACTTTTACAGTAGGGTTTCATGCATTCAACTATTCAAGTAATCCCAGCAACTCAGCACAACTGAAACTGATTAACAATATAATACTCCCTCCGTCTCTTAAATAAATTGCATAAATGCAATGGAATAGATGAAGGACCAAAATCGATCCATCACCATTTAGGGCTGTTGAATTTAAGCTTCACTTATTCAGGAAACTAAAGATATCATGGGCTAAACGGAACTACACATAGAAAACGAAGCAACCACCCTCTGAAACTAATCACCTCTTCTATGTGTCCCAGTCTCCCAGAAAGCCTCAACCTGCGTGAGGAAATTGAGAGAAACTCATTTTCTTTCTTTTCCTTCCAAATTCCTTGAACCAAACATATTGTAAATAGGAAACCATGGAAATATTTGGGATGTAATTGCCAAAAAAAATGCAGTTCAAGAACATGGAAAGACGGGGGGAAAGACTGACACTGCCAACCCGCCATGGCTGCAATTGCACCAAATCTGAGTGTTATCGGGGTGCTGCCACGCCAAGATACGGGTCAGGTCACCCTAAATTCCGTTCAATCCGCTCCCAAGAAATTATAATCACCGCTGATTCGGCGCACACCACCACCACCGTCACCTCCGGAAAAGACACGAATAAGTCTGAAATGTTTGTATGTATGGGAGTAGTTTGTTGATCTCGAGGGTTGTTGATTGCAAATTCGAAGGGGGACATGTCCCCTCCCTAGAGTAGAGATAGAAGCAACCACCCTCAAATGAAACCTAAATCTAAGATCTGCTCTTCCCAATTCTTACTTCTTCCCTGTTCTCTTTTATAGTGCACTCTACAACAATTAGGCCTTGTTTGGATGGACGCAGGTTTAAAATTCAAAAATATAGGAGCAAAAATGGCAACATATAGTGCACTATATTTTTAGGAACAAAGACGAGGAACAAAAATAAAAATATTGCTTTATTTTTACCGTATATCATACTCCTTCCGTCCCACAATTGGTTAGAATTTCTCTTTATTTTTTTCACCTCTTCTTTAGCAATTCCTCCTTCCCTAAAAGGGTTTCTCTTATTGACTTTTTTGGAAATTAATGGAGGGATATTTTTGTGTTGACTTTCCAAAAATACCCTTGAAATAATAGGTAAAAGATGTGATGGATAGATTATTAGTAAAAAAGTATGATGTGATAAGTAGGGTATGAAAAAGTAAGTGGTAAAAGTGGTTTTTTAATAGATAAGGGAACATCTTTTGGGGACAACAAAAAAATGAAAGGGGAAAATCTTTTATGGACGGAGGAAGTAGAACTTTTGATGTAGTTTTGAATATGTTAGTTTTTTTTTTGGAAAATATAAAAAGAAAAACTTGGATATGAAAAAACAGTGAATAGTCGAATACAAAGCCAATGGAAACCATAGGAATGTTTGCAGTGTAGTAATGGTAGGAAGAATTGCAGTTGAGCTTCCAAAAGGGTATAGAGGGAAAAGAATACAGACACCACCGTGGCTGCAAACACTCCAAATCCGGGATTGGAGTTGAGATGGTTGCCAAGCTTTCCATACATACTATGATACTAGTACACAGAGGCTCAGATTTTATTTTCCCTATCAGCATAGCAAGAGCACAACCTGCCATGCCTGCAAGAAAGTGACTGTCAAGCCGTTAAAGCACCCAAGCCTAGATGCAAGAGGCCCAAATCTAGTTTTTTATTATGTAATAATAAAAAATGCTCATCACTGTATCAAGTTTGAAAATCATTGTTTCAGTTATACATGTAATCCCATAATTTCAATAATGTTATACTGGTAATCCCAAATTTCAATAATGTTATACTGGTAATCCCTTAATTTCAATAATGGTTTCCACCTTTCGAAATTTTAACCATAGATCGAAAAACTCAATAATGTTACAACAACAAGCAAACCCAGTAAAATCCCTTAGAAGTGGAGTATGTATGTATGCAAAACTTACCTTAGCCAGTAAGTAGAGAGGCTGTTAAGAATGAAGAGTTAAAAACCTTCTCATTTAGATGAAATGAAATCCCTTCGGACTTAAATGCATCTCAGTACATGAGGCTCAGATTACATTCACTATATCAGAAAAACAGCACAGGGCACAGGCAAACCCTGCCATGGCTGCAAGAAGACAACTGCCTCGCCAATATGCAGGCCGCCTTGCCCTAGAGATCTGATTTTTGCATCTAAATAATAATAAGATTATCATCACAGCCTCAACTTTCATACATGGAATTCAAACTATGGAAATTGAAATGGGGACAACAATTCCAATTTTGTTGTTTGGTAGCACAAGAATTTGTAGATTTGGAATTGGTAGTGCCAAAAATGAATTGGAATTGGAGAATTCAATTCCATCTAAATCAATTCCATCGAATTTCAACTCCCAATTCAATTTCAATTACATCAATTCCGTGTACCAAACGCACCACACATTCAACTATTGAAGTAATCCCAGAAAGTCAGCACAACTGAAAATGATTAACCATATAATACTCCCTCCGTCTCTTAAATAAATTGCATAAATGCAATGCAATAGACGAAGGACCAAAATCAATCCATCTTCATTTAGGGCTGTTGAATTTAAGCTTCACTTATTCAGGAAACTAAAGATATCATGGGCTAAACGGAACTACACATAGAAAAGAAAGCAACCACCCTCTGAAACTAATCACCTCTTCTATGTGTTCCAGAAAAGCCTCAATCTGCTTGAGGAAAATGAGAGAAACTCATTTTCATTTCTTTTCCATCCAAATTCCATAACCAAACATAGTGTACATATGAAACCATGGAAATATTTGGGATGTAATTGCAAAAAAAAAAAAAAAAAAGTGCAGTTCAAGAACATGCAAAGACGGGGGGAAAGACTGACACCGCCAATCCGCCATGGCTGCAATTGCACCGAATCTGGGTGTTGTCGGTGTGCTGCCACGCCAAGATACGGGTCGGGTCACCCTAAATGCCGGTCAACTCGCTCACAAGAAATAAAAGGTCATCACCGCTGCTTCGGCGCCCCCACCGCCACCTCCGGCAACGACCCGAATAAGTCTGAAAAGTTTGTACGTACGGAGTAATTTGTTGATCTCGAGGGTTGTTGATCCCAAATTCGAAGGGGACATGTCCCCCGGCTAGCGTAGAGATCGAGGCAACCGCCCTCATATGAAACCTAAATCTCAGATCTGCTCTTCGTCATTCTTACTTCTTCCCTGTTCTCTTTTATAGTGCCCGAACCTACTCGAAAACTCTAGAAAAAACCTAAAAACTAAATTGAAAGAATACTAAAATATTACTCCCCCGTCCCAAATTATTTGCCACATTTGTATTCTCGAGACAAAATATCACATTTTTTTAATTCATTTTATTTACATATTGGTATAAAAATAAAAAATAAAATTTACATATTAAAAAAGTACTTGAAAAGTTCTTTAAAATAAGAGGTGTCAAAAATATTTTATTTTATCAAATAACCAATGAAAACGTCGAAATAAACAAAAGTTCTCGCGACTAGGGGTGTTCAAAAATATCCGATCCAAAATATCCGTCCATGATCCGGGCCGATCCGATCCGAAAAACGGATATCCGATCCGATATTTTAGCTTTCGGATATTTCGGATCGGATATGGATTCAATTTCTGGAATTTTTCGAATAACCGGATATCCGATTTTTTTTGCTATATATTTTTGGAATTTTAGGGATATATATTATGACTTTATGTTTAAATGTAATTTTATGTTGATTTTGAAACACAACCATTTTGGACTTTTTGCATTAGCATTTTAGAATCTTTTGTTTTAATAATGTTTTTTTGTTTGTTTAGGCAAAATTATCAAAGTTACTCCCAAATTAAATTTGGTATCATTTTTTTATTAGGCCATTACTTAGTGATGTAATTTTTCTTTTAGTAAATCTATATTGAATTTGATATTTTGGGTTGATTTTGCAATTTTATCTTTTTTTTTTGTAAATTTTGGCTAAAAACTCAACTTTTCTGATAATCCAGTGATCCGATCCGAAAAATCGGATATCCGAATTTCGGATATCCAAATATTATCGGATCGGATATGGAATGAGTTTTACATGATCCGAAATTTTCGGATCGGATCGGATCGGATCGATCCGATTGAACACCCCTACTCGCGACTGCTGAAAAAGCAAATGTTGTGAATATTTAGGGACGGAGGAAGTATTCTAAACCACAACATATTTGGTTTGGTATTTGGAAAAAACAAGGTAACTTCTCATACGGAGTAATAAAAATCCCGAAGCGATTATATACGGAGTATATTAATATATTATAAATATAATAATAATTTTATATTTTTTTTACTGAATGATAAGTTTTTTTTAAATATGGCTCAAATTTTATTATGTGTACATCGTACTTTTATTTGAGTTATAATTTTTTGTACAAGAATTTAAAAATAGTAGCACACATTTGAAATATCATTTCGTTATCATCCGTTCACCATAGTTTGTAAGATATGAACTAAGTTTAATAAGTATTTCTTGCATTCAATTTTTCATTTTTTTATTTTGTATGTTTTCATTTAAATATACTTTCCATTGATTAAAAACTAAATATTTTTGTGACATTTTAATAATGTTTAAATTAGGTGCGTATATTTTCATCCCGAAACCGATACTGAATTATTCTGAACCATACTGAATCGAGATTTCAGGATTCAGTACGACGTAAAATCCTGTACCGAACCGAAATATTTGGTACGGTATCGGTACGGACTAAATACCATACCATGCTCATCCCTAACAATTAGGCCTTGTTTGGACGATAACGGGTTTGAAAAAAGAAATAAGAAAGTATGAAAATACCAAATTATGAGTTCTAAGTCTTTTAGGATCAAAATATGAGTATAATGGCAATGTAGTGTAAAAGTACGCGTTGACAACGGAAAATTGATGACAGTGTATATGTAGGGGTGTTCATTCGGTAAAACCAAACCGAAATGAAAATTCGATAATTAATTTTTTGTACCAAATACCAAACCGAAATAAAATGGTTCGTTCGGTAAAAACCAAATTAAATCGGATTGGTAATCGATTTAACCAAATATCGAACATAAACCGAAATTTGAACTCTAAAAAATTCATTACATTCTCCAAATTGAAAATAACAAAGCACAATTAGATTCATTACATATCAGTTCATTACACGCTCTAAAGTCAAAATAACACAGCACAATTGAAACTATTACATAAAATAATACACAATAGTTGATACAAATAACACAATTGTCCATTCTAAAAAACAAAACATTTACTAGAATTCCTAGACAGTTACATTCAATTAAGAATTACATTATGAGTTAATGACCGGTATATGTAAAAAATAAATATTACATTCCTGACAGTGTAAGCCAGGAAAAATTTTCCTTGCAGTGCCATACGGAGTTCGTAACTCCGTTTCCCCTTGAATTAATTAACTAAACGGAGTAGGGAACTCCGTGTCTATTTTATTTATTAAAAAATAAACACATACGGATTAGCTAAATCCGTTCAAGCCAAAAAAATCTCAGGTGTACGTCGCTGGGCAAACTTGCTTTTCTTTTGGTGTTCTAGAGAGTACAATATTTTCTTTCATGTATATAATTGAGTAAATGACAATTTATTTATATAAATGTATGTAAACTTTACTTCTTTATTTTGGTAATGCATGCATGTAAACAATTTACCGGTCGCCATTATCTTTAGTATTTTCCTTTTCTAACAATTCTATAAATATATATTTCACCATTGTAAAATTTACTCCGTATTTTAAATATGCATATTGATTGTAAAATTTTAATAAAAGTATGTATAAAACTCTTTATTATTAATTTAAGAAATATTTCACTTTCAGCAAAATGAAAAAATATTTCACCATCAAAGATTTTCTATTGTTTTGGCATTTTTATGGTTTATTTAATTTAAACTTTTTTAAATTAAATAGTTATAGAATTTTTAGTGCATGTACATCATTATTTAAAGTATACTTTTTATTTAAAAAATATACTCCGTATATCTTAGAGTGAAAAATATTCATTTAAAATAAATAAAATTATATTCATAGAATGTCAAAAATTTAGAATGTATATGAGCTCGTGCGAAGCACGAGGTTGACGCTAGTATTAGGAAAAATGAAGAAAATAGGCTTTATTGTCGTGTTGTGCAGCACCACACACAAGAAGGAATATACTATGTGGTGGTGGATGGGTCGTCCAACATTGCTCAGCGGGAGAAATTTACGGTGAGCTTAAATGCACGAACATGTAGTTGTGGTAAATTGGTAACATTTCACATCCCGTGCAGTCATGTCCATGCAGTATGTCATTACTGTAGTGTCGCCGTGGATCATGGATTGTGTTAAGTTTTACAAATAAGTTAGTCATGGATTGTGTTTTGTCTTCTTTTTTTATGAATAAATTGTTATATTACTCTTGCAATAAAGTTATTGTATTTTTATATTGTTTGTAGTAGACCTTTTTACATCTATATTTTCTTTATGTATGTTTCCTTTGTTTTGTAATTTAATTATTTTATTATAAATAATTTCTAAGTAACAAAAATTAATTGATTTCTTTGAGAAACTAAAAATTATAATACTTTCTCCGGCCTTAAATAGATTACAATTTTTTTTCTCTCTCCTCTCAATAACTTTTGTTTGTTTACGCGATTTCATTAAGTATTTGATAAAATAAAATATTCTGGTCACCTCTTGTTTTGTAGAACTTTTGACGTAGTTTTTTAATATGTAATTTTTATATCTTATTGATATACCAATTTGTAAATAAAATAATTTCAAAAGGTAGGAAATTTTACCTCGTAACCCGTAATTTGTAATCAAATTGGGGACGGAGTAATATGTAATAAAATATTTTTAAAAAAAGATAGAAAGATTTAAAGCAAAAAAATTGAAACAAAAAACAACCATTAAGAAAATTGTAATTGGAACAAAACATTTGAAGAAAAAAAATTCGAACAAAAAAATTGGAACAAAAGAATTTGGAACAAGCAAGAAACTCAATTTGGATGGAACAATAAAGTGGAAACAAATTTGGAACAAATAGGTAAACGGAGTAGGCAACTCCGTTTCATAATTAAATCAATGACACGGATTAGCCTACTCTGTTTGAGTCAATAATAAAGACTAAAACGGAATAGGCAACTCCGGTTGGTATTTTTTGGGAAAGTGTACATTAAATTTACATATAAAGGAAGATAAAGCAATGAGTTTACACATGCAGGGAAATCACCCTTTACATTATGGGGGAAAGTATGTCTTCCGGTTCCCTTTTGGGCCTAACCCACCTGCCCCAAGAATTACGGACCATACCTTTATTGGCCAACTGGTACCAATTAGGGGTACCCTTAGCTCCCCTACAAGCATGTCACAGTCCTTATTCACCAAGGCCACATCCCTTTTGGCGTCCCACCTAAAGGTCGAGCTCCTGCTCACCCATCCATCCACAAGATGGAGATATGTCTCCAGCATATGGGTTCCCATGGGGTTGGGCCTCCTCTTCAAGTACGGCGACGCTCTCGCGTCGAGCCTCAGCTCTGCCCCGACGTGCGCGTAGACCCAGTCCTGCAGCGTCCCCGTGAGGTCGTCGAATTTCTGGAGGCTTTCGTTGAGTATCACGCCCGGCATTCTTGGCACTATGTCCTGCTTCACCGTCACGCGCAGCGTTTTTACGCCCATCTGTTTGTGTTTGTTAGTTAGGGGATGATGATGTTGGTGGTTAGCGCTTAGATTCAAACATTTTGTTTTTTGAGTTTATGATGAATCAAATTAAAGTGGTTGACTATACCGTTGATTTTCTGAAATCGAGCCGTTGATCACTCATTTGATTCTAAAAAAATCCATATCTATTTTTTACTCCGTATGATCCTTATAATTATTCTTTGACTATTAATAAATATATTTAGACATAACTATACATTGTACATTTGATATTTTAAAAATACATTTCAAAATACATGTAATGATATTTTAGGTTTAGAGCAACTCTATTTTGACATCACCTATGACATTAAGAGCAACTAACTAAAATCAATTCAGATCATAAATACTCAAATCAAAAGATTCAAATCTTAATAAATTTATACTCCGTATTAAAACTAATAAGTTGAGACAAAAAGAACAATCGATAATAGCGTCAAACTTTTTTTTAAGTCTGAAACTTGATATCATGTGAATTGCAAAACTTGGCACTTCATATTAATGTGTATTTTAGAATAATGCTAAAAGCCCGTCACAAGTGTCTCCAAAGATGATAATTACAAATTAATTTATGCATATATAGACGATAATCGTCTATATCCACAAATTATTATCATCCTTATATATATAAATAATCTCTGATTGTCATCCTAGAACTATTAAATGTCACATTGAGTAAGCTTGCTTATTTTCATTTTAACTTATTTGAATAATGATACAAATTTCGAAATACTTTTTTTAGATTAAATCAGATTTGACCGATTTCATTATCAAATTTGACCGACCCGATTTTTTTTTTAAAATGAGTAAAAATGGGAAAAGTTAAGAGCGACTTTGATACAGTACCTGGTAGAGCTCGTCCCGGAAGGCTATGTTGCCGACTCTAGGGGAGGCAAAGGATATGACGGTGATCGGAAGGCCGGGGAAGGTGGCCGCCGCTTCGTAGGCGTTGAGCGCCGCCAGTGCGCCGCCCAGGCTGTGCCCGGTGATTGTCAGGCTGACTTCCTCTCCCTTCTCTCTGGAAGCATCCACCAATTCCCGGAGCTCCCGCATCACCTGCTCCGACGCGCTGGATCTGTTGTAGGGCGACGCCGGGCACTTCGAGGTGTAGATGCTGAGGAAACCCCGCTCCACTCTGGCGTCTCCGTGCCCGATCGGCTGCAATTTGTGCTGCGCGTTCTCGTACCACTCCGTCGGCGTCACCGTCCCCCGCCACGCCACCGCGATGTCCCTCCGCCCGATCCGCCGCGTCTCCTCGTCGTCACTCTCGGCCACGAATCCGATCCAGTTCGAGTCCTTGCTCCATCCGTTGACCAGCCGCGACGCCTCCAGGCACTCCGGGAGGTCGATCCGCGACATCGCGTACATGTAATTGACGACTCTGTAGCCGCTCTTCGTCAGCGACATTTTGTAGAACAGCTTCCGGGGACTGTACCTGCAGCTCCCGCTGTACTCCGAGTAGTAGTCGGAATCAAGCGCGTCGTAGGTCACCTGCGCGAACTCGCCGTACTTGACGATCTCTCGCCGGAGGGACGGGTGGAGCGGGTCGAGGAGGCCTTCCCATTCCCGGCATCCATGGAGTTCGCGCCACTCGCCGGAAATGTTTTCCTTCGGAGACGAAACGGGAGCCTCCGCCTTGTCTTCGATGCTCGCGAATCTGCTCCGTCTGCCATTACTGGCGGTTTCGATCTTTAGATTGATGAAGTTCGTCAACGATTCCGCCAATTTGATCGCCCTATTTGACCCTTCCTCGTTTCTGCTGGCTTTGAACCTGCCATCTTTGTAGGCGCCGATCACGGGAAGTATGTTCGCGGCGGCAGAGTGGTGGTTGTTGCGGCGGAGGTTGGTAGTTGACGGCTGGCGGCCTATAGCTTGCATCTCGGCTAAAATTTTTGCTGGTATGATTCTTTTGACATTTCAGAATGTTAGGAATCAAATTTTTGATTAACTAAAAATTGTAGATTCTCTTTGTTGCTGACTTTTCTGCCAAAAAATTATTCCTCGGTACATTTTTTTCTTACTTTCAACTAAATTCTCAAAAATGATAATCAATAATTGTGAATTTTTTTAAATTAATCTTCAAAATTAATTAATTCTTGAGATGATACTCGTTAATTAAGAGTAAAACTCAGTTTAGTCTTTCAGACAAACAGTCATTAAAACGACATTAAAACTTATACTACTACTTTTCCAAAATGATACTATCAGATTGGATTATTTTTTGCAAATTAGTTCATTTTTTAAATAAAAATACATTAATTATGAAAATGTATTTTAAATTTTATTGGATGACAATATAATACTAAAAACTATAACCATAATTTTATAAATCTTAAGTAAACATTTTAGATTATTTACAGTTATTTAAAAGAATATCATGTAAATAATTTGGAAAAATCTGTATAAGGTTTAACGTTGTTTTAACGCTATTTTAATGACCGTTAGTTGGAAAATCTGAGCTGAACATTATTCTCAATTCACGAGTATTATCTCGAAAATTAGCTAATTTTGGGAACTAATTTACGAAAGTACATAATTACGGAGTATTAAGTATCATTTTGAGAATTTACTATATCATTAATATTACGGAGTAATTTTTTATAAATTATGTATATACATAAATATCGATATTATTGGTTAAAGTGTTACACTTGAAATTGTAAAAGCTCAAATCAAATACTTCGTAATTAAATTCGGATTGAGAGAATATAATTTGATAAAAATATTCCTACTATGACTTTTTTAATCAAATTTTTTGTAATCCATATTTTTATACAATTACAATGCAGATGCACTTTATACACCCACTCATTTTATAGACCTTAGTATATAAATGTCTTAAATGAATTAGGCTCTTTGAAAAAATAAAAGATCTCTATGTCGTTCAATAAAAAATGTAAGAAGGTTCACATTTCACGTGAATATTAGGATCATGAAAACACAACTTATATCAATACACGAAAGTATTCCGGAGCATTATAATAACTCTAGCAAGCTAATTGATTTTTTATATTTAGAAACTCACAACCATATCTAAAAGAAGTTCGAAAAACAGGACGCGCCCAAAATCCAAAGTTGACACCAATCTTAACAATTGTCTTGTGATTTTTGTTCTAGCACACATTACCTCACAAACTCTAGTCTACACTATTGACAAACCTCTTAACTACATTATATGTATATTCACATTGACAAGCACTTGTACAAGAGTCCAATGTAACCAAACCATGAAAATCACAAACATACCAAAGTGTTATTTTTCTTCTTTCAATTCACATGTGCAAATCCTGAAACATGCGACCAGTGAACTTGTGAACCAGTGTCTTGGCTCATGTCCCTGTTCAGTCCTACGAACAAAACCATGAAAATCGCAAGCATACCAAAGTGTTTTCTCTTTTTCTTTGAATTTTCGTTAGACATTCGTTCTTGAAGCGTGCGACAGAGCCGCATCTTCATAACGATCGTCGCCTGCCTTCTGGGAGGCAAGGCAAGGCGGGATGAAGGACGCAAAGACGATTTCCATGTTGGGGACCTCTTTTAGCTCATGGGCAGCAGCTTCCAATGCGGTGCATTGGAAAAACTGGTAGAACTTCTTCTTGCACACAAAGGCAAAGACGAAGGACAATATTGGGAGGGGGAGGACAAACGGTGTGTAGTGAAACAGCTTCGCGCCGAAGTAACCAAACATCGTGAGCTGGTAGAGAACGAGAGCGGCTAAGACGCGCGTGTGCATGTGGGGCCACATCTGCCCGTAGCTCTCGAACGAGGGAACGTACACTTTCAATGCCTGTTCAGAAACATTCAACAACAACAATTTAGGGCCCGTTTGGTTGGTTGAGCCAAAATTTCACCATTTTTTGGCTTTGGGGTGTGATGAAATATATCAAAATGGATATCTAAACTGTCTGCGCTTCTTTAATTAATGAAGTAGCAGTTAGTCAAGCAATGCAACTTTCGACGTTGAGCCTGGGGTCTCTTTGGAAACAGCCTCTCTACTTTCGAGTAGGGGTAAGGTCTGCGTACACACACCCTCCCCAGACCCTACTCTTGTGGGATTTAACTGGGTTGTTGTTGTTGTTGTTTGTTGGTTGGTTGGGAAAGTACAGGCTAATGCAAAAAACACACCTTCATAAACAACAAACTAAGGCCCAAGAAGACAAAGAAAGACAAAAGACAAACCTGATTGCGAAGAAGGAGCCATCCCAAGCCAAAGTAAACAGCCCCAAATGGAATGATAATGGGAGCAATGACAGAATAGCAGAGACATATGGTGAGAATCAGCATGTCGCCCGGGAACCTAGTCGCGTACCCTAAATCCCCAGGACTGCTCCATGCCTCCTTGATCTCTGCTTCAGTTTTGCACAGATACTTCCTCTTTAAATGGAATATTACCAAAGGAACTAGTCTAGACAGCTCAAGCCCATACCCTACAAAGAACCTGTGATCCAAAACATAACCATAAGAATCAAAGTTGCAAACATTAAAAAAAACATGACTCGATCGCGACTAGTTTGGAACTAGTAGGATTAGAACAATATTTGGGGAAATATTCTCAGGTTATCTACAAGGTAGGCCGGTATATAGGATATATAAAAACCCACGAGCAAGAAACTCTATTTAGAAACAAACTCTACAAGTAACTCCAATTATATATATTCACTACCCATAATAACACAATATACATCAAATAAGAAATGATTTGCTTCCTTAATTATATTTCCTAAGCAGGAATATTTTGTTTTTATAAGCAAAGCATTAAATAGGATGGAAGTTCACTTTTTTTGTTCAAATATGACTCATATTTCGAGAAAAAAATAAAAATTTTAAACATGACCCTTCTTAGGGGATTGAAAGAGTGCAAATTTCAATGTTATACAATTCTCACTACACATGGTGTGTGATGAAATCCCTACTTTTACCCTCTAGAAAGTGGGCAATGTTTATACAAGTTGTGCAAGAGGATCAAATGTCAAATCATGAAAAGGTAAAAAGCTAGCATAGTTCAAAAAAAAGAAAAGAGAACTTAATTGTGAGATGAACATGAAAAGAAAACAGTTAATAAACTAACAAAAGAGAGAGGAGAAAATTTGAGCATTACTTGAGAGCCACATAGGTGAGGAAGAAAGTCGCACTGCCAGGGAGACTATCTGCCAGCAAAGGAACCAGCTTGTTCGGATCTTTCTCGATAGATTTCAGCGTATCGAAGAGGGTGGACCCCACCGTGACACCAATGAAAACGTTAAGAACGCTGAAATAGAAATACTTCCCGGAAGCGGCCCTCGTGGCATGGCTCTGCGAAGGAATCCCTTCGGCCTTGGACAAGAACAAGAGGAACTTGGGAAGCAAAGCCAAGAACGCAATGAGAGCAAGTTGAGGCAAGTAGGCTTCTAGCACTGTCTTGATCGCTGTTTGTTCAACAATCGGCTTCAAAAACGGGAGGAACTTCACCAAATTCTTAAGGGTTGTTAGTGCCGATACGAAGCCGATTGGGATCATGTAAAAGAATATTGTAAAAAAGACAATGACATAGACAACATATTGGCGAACTATCCTCTCGTAAAAGTTTTTGTGAAGATTAGTCCAAAGGACCTGACGGGGTTCGGGAGCACCCATCACAGTCCACGTGTCAACCATTGGGGAATGCAAATTCTGTGCTGCTGACGTGGCAGTCACCCTACTGTTGAAAAAGATGATGGCAGCGCATTGCTGTCTCTCTTTAAGAGTGACCTTCTGTTCAGCTTCTAATTTTGATGTCAACTCTTCGATTTTCTCGCTGTAGAAATCTATTGAATCTACCTTTTTACCAAGAATGCCAAGGAAACCTGTTCTATTCGTGGGTCTTTCTCCATTTGGTTTCTTTGTCGTTTCTGCACGTTCGAGCTTCTTCTTGTACCCAATTAACTCTTCATAGATTTTATTAACCTTGCTGTTGTCAGTGACCAGTATGGATCGGTAAAAAGTGTCTGGGTAGATTGCAGTGAAATAAGAGTCAACCTGTTCTTTCCTGGATTGACCCTGAAGAACAGCAGGAATGTCTCGGACAAGAACAGCAAATTGTTCGGGTCTAACCTCGGAAGACATCAGAGCTTCTTCTCTCAAACCCGCAACATGTTTGTATGCTTTCCATAGAAGGTAATATGCAGCAAATGAGACCCAATATGTGGCTATCATAAAAGCCCATAGTCGTGGACTGTTTTTCTGCAAACACGTGTACCGAATTAGAAATGGCAACCAATGTAGGAAACTTAGTCCCAAATCCCCCCGACGGATAAACAAGCCATAAGAAACTTACTCCAACATGCCCCATAGAAAGCTTATCGAGGTCGTTGAAAGTCCCTTCACTGGTGGTATTGTCTAACCTCACACTATGATCACTCGAAGCTACCGGGAGAAGTACTGGCAGCAAAATAAGGCCCGAAATCACCAATATCCCTAAAGCTGCAGTAATGACAAAAAAAATTAGAATGTGTCCCGGTAGGGCTCCATTCTCCCTATTGATGATGATTCAAGTTTTGTTTTCCAAAATCTAAACTTCATATAAACTCACTACCATCCCGGTTTACATCAAAAAAAAATCCAGACCATGCCAACCTACTCCATTATGAAAAGTTGTGGAACTTTTGAAGTTTCTTGCAAGACAGGCATTTACCACCAAGTTTGGAACTTTTTAACATTACTCCCATCAATTCTGCTTCCCATACATAGACACCTACCTAAGACTCTTAAGGCTTTATAATCTCTGAGCAGTTATATACTCCGTATTTGAAGAATTAGTAATTGAAAAGACAAAAGAAAATATTATCTGCTATTTTAACTTTCTGTTAAGTATAATTTGCTGCGAATGAACACTGAGAACCACATCCTACTTAAGCAACAACATCAAAAATCACTCCAAATTTCAAAGAAATTCTTTTAGAAAACAAAACAAAACTCCAAAAAAAAGTGAAAGAATTGATTTAATTAAATTGTTACCAGCAAAAAAACTATTTAAAACATTGTTACCCGTAGTGAGGAAGACAAAGTAGACAGCCGTATCAACGCCAGACATTCTGATGATATCAGCTTCAGTGGAAGAGAAGGCCTCCCGGATCCAGGCAAACGGGTTCCGGGTCGCATACCCGTTTTCGACCGGATCCAATCCTTTC